TCAATCGCAGTTATTTCGAAAGATTTTCGGTATGCAAAATCTTTCGCAATATTTCGCATATTTATTCTGCTGATGTAAAATTGCTAAGTTACTGTTAAAGTGCTATTAAAGTACTATTGAAATACATAGATAAAATATTAAATTAAAATCACTATACTAAATTTGTATATATACTTATATCAGGTAACTTATTTTTTGGCTTCAAGTAATGCAATCATGAGAAGGCAATATAAATATTAATTAAACTTCTAATGTTTAATATATAAAACATTGAAAAGTTGACAGTAATATACAAATATTTATATATTAAGTAAACTGCACCTTAAAAACAAACATAATATTTATCTAAAAAAAAGATAATCAATGTTATTAATTGCAAATATGTATAACAAGCTAACTAACTTGAAAGATTCCTTGTACTCTACATGCATGAGGCTCAAATAAGTATGTATATAAAATCTTTTTTTTTATTTTTATTTAAAATTTTTTACTGATATTTTATCTTTTAACATTAGATTGTTTTTATATTAATAAGATAATTGCTAAAGCTATTTGTATAAGTATACTAAGTTAAACAAAAAATTTTATCTTTAAAATTAAGTGATAGAACCTTTGACTATACAGGTTGTAAGACTTAATAGGCTTATAATTACCTTAGATAGCTTAGTATTTAAATGAAGATAATTATCTAATTCACAAAAATATGCAATCTATTTTTTATAAAATAGTTTTTTCATGTATAGTTATAACCTTTTAAGGCAAGTCTAGAATTCAACTACAATCTTTCTAAAATTTATTTTTTCTATATTTATATACTACTTATAAAGAGTGCAATCATTAACTTTTATTGTCTACATAGTAAGAAGAAAAAGACTAAATAAGTTTCTTATAGTTTAGTCTTCTGAACTACAAAATAAGAAATAGTTTGAATGTATTTATCTCAAAACTTAGATAAATACATAACATTTTTCTTTATCTTAAGCATTATCATTATTCTTAATATAGGATATATATTAAAAAGAAGATGATATAGATTTTTTAAACAAATAAACTACACTATAGAGAGTAATTGAATATATTTACCAGAAAAAATTATAACCAAAATTTAATTTTACTATACTGTCATTGATGAGTAAAGTTATATTTGACCTAAACTGAGTATATATTGCATTTTAAATTTGTTAATTTATGTTGAATTGCTTTTGTGTTAATAGATTAACTACTTAGTTTATTTGTTTATAGATATGTATAGTTATATAAAAAATTTTCTTAAGTTTTTACCTCTTAATAATAGAGCATTTGACTTTGTATGTTATGTATTTAAAAGAGCATAATTATCATTTCTAATAGTATAATACAGTGTTGGCATATGGACTAGACATGGACATGGACCAGACTGGACCAGACTGTCTGTATTCATGTTCAAAAATAAAATAGACCATGGACATTTATATATATATGACAAGCATTGGCACATAGACTGAATGTGGATATGGACCAAACTGTCTATGTTCATATCCAAAAATAAAATAACTGTGGACATATATCCAAGAATATGTCGGAGTTAAAAATGTGTTACTATTAACATTTTGATTCTTAAATGAGTTAAAAGTGAGTAGTATTTATGCTTTAAATATTATTATGTTGTTAGTTACACTTGTGCAGTTTTAGATTTTTTAGATTATCATACTGTGCTATTAACTATGAAATATTATTTTGATCACAACTCAGACATTTACTTTTAGAGTCATATATTTTGAATGATCCAGTTTCTCAGCTTATATATATGTTTTCAGTTTAATAGATCTACCAAAGCATGTATGATTTAGGTAATTATACATTTGTTTGTTTCTTTAATGCAATTAAGAATTAATTATTAATTTTGTATACATAATTAAAAAAAAATTAAGCTTTTAAACAAAAAAGCAAAGTATATTATTATAACTTTATGTAAAAAAAAATAAAATTTGCATATATAATTTAACTCTACATAGTGAATTTGTTTCCTGTAAACTATTTTTATTCTGCTTTTAATCAATTTAAATATATACAGATGATTCTCATTAATATCAACTTTGTTTGCTATTGATCTTTATATATATATTAACATAATTTTTTAACCCAAATAGGTTGATATAAACAAGGATCACTTGTACTATTATCAGAATTTTTATATGAAGCATTATACAGGTTAGACAGTTAGGATATGCTTAAGGTAATTGTAAATTGTTAAAGAGTGATTTTAGATCCCATTTAGTAGCAGGATCTACAGCTGGATAAATGATGTTCTCAATTTCAGAAGGCATCTTATTATCATTATCATCATCACTCTTATTAATTTCTTTAACCTTTTCTGCTGATATCTCAACCCACACATCTAAAAAATTCACTAAACCTTTCTTTTAAGAAATCTGAATCTAGCAACTCATCATTAGAATCTTTATTTACAGTAAGGTCTTCAAATTCTTGAGGCTCTGGTCTAATTTCACAAGGCTCTACAGGTTTATCATCAAATTTGTATCTTTCATAAATTATATTTTCTTGACTAACAGTACTTTCTTCTGTAAAGTTAGGTAGAGACAATTCATCGAGATTAGATTTTTGTAAATATTTCTATGCAATAATTGCTCATAATTTACTTATTTTAAGAGCTTTTGATGACTAAAAAAAAAAATTAATATACAAAATATTACAGCATTTTTCAAACTATTATGATCACCCAATAACTATCCATCATGAAGAAATCTGAATTCTTTGGTATTATTTCTTGAAACATACTAGAACTGGTGGTTAGTCTTGCGAAATAATATTAAAATTTACTATCTTTTTTCATTAATAGGAATTTTGCTATTATTTAATCTAACAATTTGTTAGTTTTATTATACTATTAGAGATAATGCTAAAAAATTAAAATGGAAAATTATTTTTAAATCCAAACCAAAATATTATTACGTTTATATATATAAAATTGGTCAGTTCAAAAATAATTTCCCAAATATAATAGAGAATCTTTAGAATGTTATTTTTAAATAATGTTAATTAGATTTATTCATGAATAAGTACCAAAATTTTCAGCAATAAATAATCATCGGATGGCCACAGTGAAAAAATTCAATATATACATATGCACTTTCATATATAAATTTTTTTTGCATACAAAAAAATTTACAAATATGTGTTAACAAACCATATAGATATGCAGCATTCACATATGATTTTTTAGTACAGTCAGAGTACTAAATTTCAAGTTTAAATTTTTTTTGCTAGTTATGGTAATTTGAAATGCAATTGAATTAAAAAATACTTACTATTAATCTATTTCTTCAATTTGTTTGTAAAAAGCTTATGCAACTCCAGAGATGTTCAACTGCAGCTTTTGGTTGTTATGCCTTCTTTCTTCTCCCATTCATTAATCTTTTCGCTATGTTAACACAAATTCTATATAATCGACAAGCAACTAAACCTAATTCAACCATCAAGTCTTTTGCATAATGCCAATACTTCCAAATATCACCAAATTGATTATAGGTCTTGTTATCAAATAGGTACACTTCTATAGAAAAATCAGTAAATTTATGTAAAATGCATGTAGGTTCATCACCTGACTAAGCCTTATAGTAATACCTTAAGTATTTGCCTAATTTTAAATAATTGATTGCTAATTTATTTTTAAAATAGGTCATTCGATATTTAGAATGCAATAAGCAAGCTAAAATTAAAAGAGATTGTTCCCAATTATTCTATCTTTTGTCTAACCTATTCAAAATCTTTTTAGCAAACTGCAGGTTCATATGATTGTTCCAAAATTGAACCAAATATGCAAGACTATGTATAACATGTATTAACCTTGTGCTATTAGATTGCAAAATATTTAATATTTTGCAATATAGATATAAAATTTTAGCAATTACTATTAAATTTGACCAAAACAAATCCAAGATAATTATATTGAAAATATCTTGATGAATTAACAATTTATCTCTAGTTCTTCATTGACTTTGAGCATGTAGTAGTTAATAATTGATTACAAGAATCTAAAATAAAAAATTAATTAATAATAGGCTTTAGTCAAATTCTAACTATAAGTCAGAAGATCATAATCCTAACAACTTGTTCTAAATAAAAAATTTTATCACAATAATATTGTATAAAAGAAAATGCTTTTGCTAAGTAAGTAACTATTACATAGTTATTTTTGTTTTTGTTAAGAATTTTAATTGGCTAATTTAAAATTTGAAGTTTATTTATTTAGGACTTTATTGTAAATTATTGCATTATCTCAAAATAATACCTAGAAGTATTATTTCAAGAAACACAATTTAAAGAGTGCTGAGATTTAATTTAATTAAAGATTTTCAAAAAAAATAACTATTGTTTGCATTCAGTTAAACTAATTCTTAGTTTTTTTTAAATTGTATATCTCAAAATAACACCCAGAGCATTATTTTGAAATGATATTATGTGACTTCCTAATTTATAGTTAAAATTTTAACACACTAATTATTTATTTGCCTACAATGCTTGTTTAGTTTGTAAAAGACTAGTTACTATTAAATAGTAGCTATTCTATTGAGTTTCTTCTAAAACAGCTATTCCATAATACTTTTTATAAGTGATTTTCTGTTGGTTTCATAATTCAGTAATGAAGTATTTGTTTCTTGCATTTTTAAAATAAGCAGCTAATTTAATCACTTGGTTCATTATAATTTTTAGGTCTATAGATTCTTTGAATACTTCACCTATATACAAGATTAGCTGATGTGCATAGCATAATAAGAATGCAATGTTTCTATAAGTAAGTTTTAATCTTTGTCTAACAAATTTATTAATATAGAAATAAATGAAATACATATTAGAATGTTTAAAGAATTAAAATAATATAGCAGATTAAAGTGAAATAAATTACAATAGAAATTTGAACTATTAAAAAATTATGCATTATAGTAAAATTTTTTGCAAGAGCTTATTGCTCTTGCAAATTAGAGTAACAAATTATTTTTGTGAATCCTACAAATTCGTAGATTACAGTTGGTTTAATATGCAGAATTTATATAATTTACAAAATTTGTTTGTTAAAATTCTGTATTGTTATAGAACGATTTATTATTATTTTATTATTATTATTAGTTATTATTATTATTATTATATTATTATTATTATTATTTAGTATTAGTTATTTCATTATTGTATTATTATTATTAGTAGAAGTTGCCAGAACATTCTGGTTGATTAGTAATCACTTAGTTACTTAGATGCTTAGATGCTTAGTCGCTTAGTTGCTTAGCTACTTAGTCACTTAGTTGCTTAGTCACTTAGTAATTAGTCATTTAGTAATCATTAGTCATTAGTTGCTAGAACCTTCTGGTTGCTTAGTAATCACTTAGTCACTTAGTCACTTAGTCGCTTAGTCACTTAGTTGCTTAATCATTTAGTCACTTGGCCACTTAGCTGCTTAGCTTACAGATATATAAACCCTGCTAAATTCCTCAAATGTGATTAAGCAACAGACACCCTCTTTCCTTTAATATTGTAAACACATCTTGGAATTCTTTAGAAACATAAACCTAAGGATAGCCCTTCTTGTTATTACTTTAATAAACAGCTTTTGACTATAAACTGTATTGATACTCCCTCTTTAGGATAATTCCTACAAGCAAGGTTTATCTCCTCTTGGTAAAATAAAGTAAAGTTATTAGTATTGCATTACTTTTCCCGAACTGCCTCAGAGAAGAGTATAGTTTCTTGACAACATCTAACAGAAGCTATACTTCTTTCTTAGACACCACATATACCTATAAGGGATTCTCTATGCCATGTCATCATTATAATGTGAAAATCAAGAAGGCTTTTACCTATAACAGTATATTACCATTACTTTAATAATGATGATATACAAAATTCATATAATTTACAAAAATATTTTGTCGAACTAATTTGCAAAGAGAAACCTAAACTTTATTTTAATATAATTTTATTATAATCTGTAACAAATAATACCTAAATGCTGCATATAGTTTGGCACTGTCTGAAACTATAACAGAAACTTTTATGTTCATGCTTTTTAGTTTATTGATCATTGCATTAGTTTTATCCATAATGTTAGTATGTGATTCTTTTTCTAAACTAATATCTATGGCTTTTTATATATAAGGTTTCCTATTAGAAGTAATGATCATTACTCTTAGAAGTTGTTCATTTTTTATGTTAGTTCATCTGTCAAAGGTCAAGATAACATCTATTTTATCTTTACAAAGTGCATCATGCATTGCTTTATTCTTTTTAGCAATAGCAGTATCCAAAATCTTTTTACTAAGGGTTCAACATTCTGAAAGTTTAAGGTGAAGGTTTAAAAATTCAAAAAGCTTTTTAGCTTCCAGTTTATTAACCCAGTGAAAGGCCCACTTGCAAGATATTGTTAGTCTTAATAATAGAACTTTGAATTTCTTACTATCTTGCTGAGTTAACTCTCTAGCAATATGGTTATCAATTGGTCTGTATATAAAGGATCATATGATCTTTCAGGATAGTTGTAAGAATGTATTTGTGATGTCAGAGAATGAGTCAAAAGAAACTATAAAAAATATGTATATATATTATTATATACTAAAACAAATCAATGCTGCCAAGAAAAAGCCTACAATCAGACTTTCAATTATATTTTGTGTATAGTTTGTTTACTAAGTACCATCTAAAAAAAATCTATTACAGTATTATTTAACTTATCACAAAATATAATTGTAAGCTCAATAGTAAATTTTTCTAAAAAACAAACTGTATGCAAAATATAATTGAAAGCCCAATTATAAATTTTTTCTTGGCAGCATTCAAATAAATATTATATTCTTACTTGGTTGTTTTTTTTGGTCATCAAATAATTTGAAAATTTCTTCTCTTTTTTTGATATTATTTTTCTAATGAAATAATTACATTTTTTAAGATGCTGGATTATTCTGTCAATTTTGTTAAGAAAAAAAGATTTTTTTCCTTCATTATCACCCAATACTTCAATGTACACTGTACAATAAAATGTATAATTCTACTTGTTAAGTTTTTCTTTAGTTTTAATAATATGTTGGTCTAACAATATTGGTATTGGCATTTTATTAATTAGGTTGAACAAGTTCATGATTTGAAATATGAAACTTTATTTATAAATTTTAAATATTGGGTTTTTAAATTATATTTATTTTATTTAATGTGTTTGATTTTGCTTAATGTGAATTTGAACTAACTTTTTTTTTATTTCTCTATTAAATCTGAGAACCATATCAATACTTATTACAATGTTAATGAGGGTAAACTTTTGTTTTAAAACTTTAATAAAATACTATATATACATATACCTGTTTCTTTATTTACTAATTATTCACATGCTATTTATTTTTACAAAAGATTTGTCTGCATTATGAACAAAGAAGCAAGCACATACACAAAAAGATTATAGAATATTTTAGTACAATTATTTAAAATATTACATTTGCATTCCTTTTATAGATTTTTCACATTGTTATAGAATGATTTATTATTATTTTATTTTTATTATTAGTTATTATTATTATTATTATATTATTATTATTTAGTATTAGTTATTTTATTATTGTATTATTATTATTATTAGTAGAAGTTGCCGGAACATTCTGGTTGATTAGTAATCACTTAGTTGCTTAGACGCTTAGTTGCTTAGTTGCTTAGCCACTTAGTTGCTTAGTAATTAGTCACTTAGTAATCATTAGTCATTAGTTGCTAGAACCTTCTGGTCACTTAGTAATC